TGAATAGCTGAAGTGATTGCTCTGGGTTTATTACTGTGGAGCAGTCCCTTCAGAAGCACACACTTTTACTGTTGAAAATCCCTGATGGCATTATGAGATTGTCATCTATTTAGAATTGGAAATTGTCCCCTATTTTTCTTACAATTCAAAACGTAATTGGTTTCTTTAAATGTTGCCTTCTACTGCTGCACATGGAACAAACTCAAAGCATTTCGTGAACCAGCTGTTTCTTTTCCCAGCTCTACTCTTACAGGTGCAATTAAGTTATTGTCCTTTAAATCATTTGTATGGTCTACTGAACCACTGACTACCTTTTCTGTCTCTTACATGTCAATGCTTTGGTTCTGAAAAGATCTCCAGCAGGTGTAAGAATAATATTTGGCTTAATCTTCTCTTTATTAGCGATACAAACAGCTTTTGGCAGATAGTAGATGGTGGAAAGTTGTGTAATTGCACAGGCGTTTGCTTTCCTTAATTTTTTGCTTTTTCTTAATTTCTTATATTAAATACACAGAACACAGAAAATGCATGTTATTTGAGTGAGCAGTTATGTCTCACTTAAAATGACAAGTTCAGCTGTATTACATGTGGCTACAACTGCTCTTTGCTTATGAAGCTCCAGATGGCACTTTGAGGTTAACGTCATTGCAAGAACTTTAACACAGGGTGACAAAAGAGAAAAAAGGATAGTGGAAGACCAACTGAATGACAGTTTCTCTGGGCATCATGCTGTGATAGAATGCTCTAGTAAAATGATTCCCTGAACTGTTTTATTTATTTGGACATGGAAAAACTAAACAATTCATAACCAAGTATCAGTCACCTCAGGCTAGAATTTACTGGGACTTAGTGCAAACTTGTTAGAGGTTTGGAAAATCTCAGAAGGGAAAGTGATGGAGAAGTTTTGGAAAACTTGCCTCAGAGGAAAAAATATAAGTAATAAATGCCCAGCATTGGCTTTTTTCCTTCAATTCTTTATGGATTTTACTGATTCCATCTGTGTCTTCATACAACAGATTTTTCACCTGCATTTCATTTCATATATTTTCCCAGACCTTGTTTATTTACCTGACTACACTATTTGACGTTCATATTTTCATTTTTGTCTCTTTCATTTCCCCAGCCTTACTATTAGATGTCATAATAAGAATTTATTCAACAGCACTTTGTCTCACCCTTACCTCTTCCAGTTTTTGCTGTAGTCTCTCTACTAAGCAAGTCTACTTGCTCCTGACTAGTTCCATTTTTTTCTCCATCTTTCGTTTGAGCCAAATGTTCCAGGTGTTTGTCTGTCTGTTCTCCACCCTTCTCCAGTCTCTTTTTCACTCTTTAGGCCCCTTCTTCCAGTCTATTTTCCGTAAGGATTGAGTTTGGGAGCTGCTTCCTCTGTATGGCTTGGACTAAGTAAGGAGAATGCTGAAAAAGCAGAAAGTTCTCTGGAGTTCAGGTTCCTAGCCATTGATTTAGATCTGAGCTGCAATTGCAAAGAATGACTTTCTTAGGCCTCTGGCGCATATTCAGTACTGACAGAGAGAATGGGCAGCACAGCAGCTGAAGTCCCAGTAATACCGGCTGTGCGCAAGCCAGAAAGAATGTGAGTTGACAATATGTGGCTTTTCAGTGAGAGAGCAAAAGACTCAAGTTCTCTGCCAACCTGCAAAACCTCATTCTAATGCATAGAATTTCATAAAGGAAATCTTCAGAATCTTTTAACATTATAAAATACTGCTCTTTCTACTAGCCTTTTTCTTAGGAATGGATGATTCAGGCCAAGACAAACATATAGGCACAGATAGGCAGAGCTTTTTGACTGGTGTATGTTACTGAAAATAGGATTTTCAGCTGAGGCACTGCTTCAGACTTAATTGAATAATATTCTATGAATGAAAGGTTTTCCTTTCTGGGTGTATATTTATTAACTTTTGTACTTTCAATAGATTTTCCTTAATGTTTGCCATTCATTTCGTCTTTCGTAATATTATCGTTCAGTTGGCAAGCAGAGATGTGAGAACATCTGGCATTTGCAGTGAAGTCTTCATAGTTGCGTTACTCCACTGTGCATAACTTATGTTCTTGTTGAGGCTTCATATTATTCTTCAGAAAATGAACTAAAATTCCAAATATAAGTTCATATGTATTGTCAATAAATTTTACAAGTAAGAATATTATTTTGATTTACTTGCATTTGAAGTGGATTGAACAAAGATCATCTTAGGTGATGTAAATAAGTCTGTCGCAGATTGAATTATTACAGTCCTGTCACTGATCCATTTGGAATCCAATAGAGAAAACTTAGTTATGAGGGACCCTTTGAGGAAGAATTGTACATGTTGTGGGAGTAACTCAACATGATTCTTAGATTGCTAAGCTTACTATTAAAATTACTCCAGTTTTCAAAGCAGTGCAACTTCAACTTTTCCAGACATGCAAAAGCTTATACTGGAGACATCCTTTTATTTGAATGTTAGGATTTTTATAGCACCTTGATTCGTAATTGCCAGTTTCTTGTTCAGCAAGATAGCTTTTCTAAAATGATAGTAATATTTCTAATGCAGGTTTTATCTACTAAATACACTGGGAGCCATGGGTGGTGGGTTTTTTTTATTTTTGTGTTTTTTTAGAGTGGTTCTGGAGATCTGATAAACAAATAGAAACACACCGTCACCTATTGTGACTTCTAAGAAACAAGGAATATTGAATTCACTCCTAGATGTCTGGCCTTTGTGAATATAGTACTGTGCTTTGCACTTCTTTGTACCTGGTACTGGTATTTAGCTTAGGCACTCTGTAGGCTTTCACTCTGCCAAAATGACCTTAACATGGACAATAAAGTTTATTGAAAGCGACTGACCATTTTGACAATCTATTATCTGGCAAGATGTTGAAGGAATGTGGGAGGGAATGTGGAGCTTGTAATAGTTCAGTATTCTTATACCAATAAATAAATGATTTTTATAACTTAATTTCCATCCTAGAATGCATGTGTGATTAATATAAGTCATTAAATACTTAATCCACAACTGTGCTCTTTCTTGTTCTTTATATCCACACACTCAAGCACATCTCTGGGGAAAAAACAGTTCGTATAACTTGTGCTTCTTTCTTTCCTTTGCTTTGTTTTTGGTAAAAATATGAAAGTCTAAGTTCATAGAAATGGTTTTGTTGCTGTCCAGATATCAGTAAAATGTAATTTTTCAGATTTAAATGTTATTACATTGTGATCAAAATTCCAGAAAAGGAGATATGTTTTGTCCTGTCTACATACTGGATTTTCCTGTTACCTTAGTGTGCCTTTAACAGTACTTTAAGTGGGAAATAATTATGAAGAAGCATTGTCTGTTATATTATTTTCTAATGCTACAGACAGGTTTGTAAGTGGCAAAAACTTTCTGTGATCTTTTCGTTATGTAGAAATGATTTTGGAAAGATGTTAACAGAGAACGGGGAGCACATTTGTATCAACTGTTTCATATTTAATGTTTGTCGTTTAGGAGAGGTCACCCATGCAGACTGCAACAGCGAAAATGCTGCATTTATTTTCTTTCAAATATTTGAACTTCAATAGCAAATGTCTGATGTCTTAGATGCCTTAGTAAACTACTGCTTGATTCAGTGAAGTCTGTCACTCGCTGCAGTCCTTACTGACTGTTGTTTTGTGTAGGTTTTTTATTTGTAGGTGTGTCCCACTTTAGTGGGATAGGTATATGAATAAACCTGAGAGAGAACAGAGAATATATTTGCAGTTATTTGTAATAAAAATATTTCAGCATTTGTTGTGTCGAAGGTACTGAATGGAATTGTCTGGAAAGAAATTGATTACTGACAAAACATTGCATGATCATCCATTCTTTTTTCTTTATCATTTGTTTGAAATTATTTGAATGTAACTAGGACTATCTATTTTTTATCTATGGCCTTTGATGACTCTTTAGCCATGAAAATAACATTTATTTGTTTCCACTTTGCTAGTGAAATATCTTCTAAAGCCCAACATAAAACTTTCCCTTAGTCAGATTTGTTTTTTATTATTTAAGAGAATTTTCTGTAGTTTGACTTGGGCAATGGGCAGATCCATGTGCTGTTTCTATTCTGAAATTAGAAGTTTATAAGAGAAGTGTGCATATTGCCATGTAAGTCTGGATTGCAGTTTTGTGTGGTACAGGACGGCCAGGCTTTCATCGTAGTGTACAAACATAGAGGCAGTCGCTGAGGTAGTTTCATGTGTTCTGTTAGATGGGCAGCGCCCTTGGGTGTGTTCATATTCTGATGTACCTAGCAGAAAATAAACATTAGATTGCATTTTTTTCACTTAGGGAAAAGCAGTGTTATCTTTTATGAGGTAAAATCAGGCACAGTTGTAATGAAATAACAGAAAAACTTAGCTTCTTCCACAGTGAATCATAGAATGACCTGGGTTCAAAATGACCACAATGACCATCTAGTTTCAATCCCCTGCTGTGTGCAGGGTCACCGACCACCAGACCAGGCTGCCCAGAGCCACATCCAGCCTGGCCTTGAATGCCTCCAGGGATGGGGCATCCACAGCCTCCTTGGGAAACCTGTTCCAGTGCATCACCATGCCTCTGAAGTGTGTCTGTTCTCTATCTCTCTGCTAAACTTACTTCAAAATATAATACAATCAAGCAATTAAGGGGAAAAAAAAAAAGAAAAAAAAAAAAAGGATGAGAATGAAGAGTTTCTCCCTCACTTTTATATAAATAGGTGTTATAGAGCAAAGGGCTATTTGTTCTGCATGTATTTATTTATTTTGATGCCTTGAATAATGAGAACACATCTTTATTCACTTTTCACTAATAAACCAACATCTAACCTCTCTAGTTTCTGGTGGGTGCTTGAAAGAAGGATTTTAAAAACTCACTTTTTTTTTTTTTTGCTGATGAAGCTCAATTAAATGACTGTTCATAAAGCAAATGCAAGAAAGAAGTAAATGTATCCACAGCAAATTAAAAATTTCATTTTTTTGTTTTTTCGTTTTGTAGCGTTTGCGCTCAGCAAAATCCCAGCAGAATGAGTTATCAGAAAATGGATGAAAGAGTGCCCTCCAGAGGCAGAATTCCACTGAATAAAACTCCAAGATACGGGGAAGAGGAATTGGAGAACGTAAACATTACGGCCGTAGCTAGAAAAGTTGGCTTTGCTCAACATTCACATAAATACAAACAAGTAAGTACAGCCTGAAAGTTAAAGAAACTCCTTTAGGCAGAAAAATCTTTGAATACTGTGATTTTAAATGAAGTAATTTTTATAAGTATTGAATCTGAATGCCAAAGCAGACTTGATCTGCATAAAATGCAGCCAGAGGATCTCCTGATAAATTCTAAGTAAGGCTTAATGGAATTGTACCTTGATGCAGAAACCTTTGGCATATGGCATTTAAATAAAAACATTGCCAAGGAACTGAACTGCATGTGTTATGGAATGCTTTGTTATTTGGCAACCTTGAAAAGCAGGTGTGAAAAACATGTCTGAGTTCATCTAAAACAGGCATTAGCCAGTATTTTGCTTTTTGTTTTAATTGATTTTGCAGAAAAAGAAACTGAACTTTGGGGGTGTTGGACTGTAAATCAACTCAGGTCACTTCCATAAACAATTATAAATATGAGCTGTTATGTTTGAAGCAAGTAAGACATTTAAAAACATAGGATTTTATTTAGATATGTTAGGAATCAGTACTCAGCATTCTTTTGAAATTTCAGTCTTTTTAATTTTTGTGCTGACACATGCTTTTTTCAGTAAAGTCACAAATATATTTATTTTGTTCAACTTTTAACCAATTTGGCAAGGGAGAAAAGGGAGTTTTCAGCTAAAGCCATAAATCTGCTTTCTATAGCAGTGAACAATTACAGCTTTTGTTTATTTATTTTGATTGGCAAATGGAGGAGCAGGTAAATTATTAATAACAGTTGCACAAAAAGTGCTGTTTTCCTTGTGGTACGTGTGCTTAACAGTACAGATTTGTGCTTTTCAGTTTGAAGAATGGCAGACTATAATCTTGTACTCAGTGATGTGAAACAACTTCAAGTCTTTGCTCTTTAAAACATCTATTTTGAAAGTCCAGTGGCACAGAACATAAGTTTTCAGTCTCCTGAGTACCCTGAACCCAGTCTTTGTTCTTTGTTTTTCTTCGTAGTTGTTGCTATATCAAACCAGTGCGAGCTCAATGAGATGTGCTAATAAATTGCTGATAAAGTCACTGAAAGTAGAAAGTGACAGATTATTTGATTTCTTGCAGTCCATTTTACATTAAAAGTGTCATTTGCAGGTCTAAGGGAATATTTTTTTTTCCACAAGGTGTTCATATTTTATTTGTTTCCTTTGAGATACCTATTTGTTTTTTATAGTCTATTTGCATTTGCCATGAAGAGGCACTTTCCCTATGCCAGAGTCAATCAGTGATTATTCTAAAGGTATCACTCTGCCAGCATTAAACCTACATGTAGGAAGAGTACAAAACAGTCTGTTCTGATAGGTACAGTGGATGATCTAGTTCTTGAAGAACTTCAGCTTTTTTGTGTTTGCTTTGTAACAGTCATTTGTTTTGAAAATCTTTTTGACCTCATTCTTATCTGTTGTAATTAAAAGTGAGATAACAATGCAGAATATATCTTCTCTGCATGCTTTCCTGTGCAACTGCAGCATTTGTATTGATTTAGATCCCTTAGGAGTATAGACATGGGATACTCATCAAGCAGATTTACCTTAAGGTGCATATTGGCATTTCCCAAAGTGCTTTGTGTCCATTCTTGTGTAATAGGAAAGGTGTTGATCATCTGCATTGTTAAGATACACAGTCACAGCTTAATCACTTAACCTAACACTTTCTCTGGGAATTGTGAGCTCTATTGCTGAGTGTCAGTGCTGTAATGTGTTTCTACTCTTGACAGAGAAATCAGCATCCTGATTCTGCCAGTCTTATGGTTCTTTTTTTTTGTTTTTGTTTTTAAGTTCTGTTCAGAGTAGAATTTCGTATGAAGTAGTACACAGCTGCAGATTCTTAACAGGTTTTAGTGCTGTATTTTTTGTCAAGCTTGCCCTTCACCTACTCTATATGCTAGCTTCTCTGAGAAGGGAGTGAACTTTCTACTGCTAAGCGAGTTACGTGCACAGATGATCTATCTGCAGATTTCTGATGAAAAGTCAAATGACAATATGTCAGTTTCTGAGTCCTGGAGAAATTATTTCACATTACCCTGGCAGTGCTAATGGTTTACAATGCTCTTGGCCTGTAATGGGCTGTTTGCCTTAAACAGCTTTGACAGTTTTGCTGAACTTAACATGTACTCAGCTAAGAGATGATCTTTCTTTGCTACATTACTTGCCATTTGAATAGGTCACATTTTGATGAGATGTGTTTGTTCTGCTGACTGTGAAACCACTGTATAAATCTTTCTTTATGCTTTCGTACTTCTTGAAAGATTCAATGTATTATTCTGAGAGCAAATATCTAATTATTTGCTGCTGGAAGCCATGTAAGAAAACTTCTCTATATTTCTGAAGTTCCTTGGGGACATCTGCCATGGCAAGCTTACACCCAAAATGAAAAATGGGAAGTGATTTCATTCCATCGTCTTGTTGAATGAGAGTCTGGCTTTGTGAAAAGACCAAAATAGTGAAGGCAGATTGCCAAGGGGGGAGGCCTTTACTAGCTCTTTGAAGGTTATGTATTCTGGCTGAGAAAGTGAAGATCTAGTCAATACATTGGCTTGTTTGTGTTATATCCAGTTCTGGAGGAGAGCACTCCTTGGAGTTATTGATACTATATCAAGTGTAGTGGTACTTCTCTACCTCTCAGACACAAACCTTCTGAGATCTTGCCTGGTGAACTGATTCTTCCTATAATGTTATGTTTTCCATTGATAAGCTTCTAAACTGAGCTATTTACTGAGCCTCCAAGATGAAAGATGAAGCTACTTAATGGAGCAAAAAATATTCAGAAGGAAAAGCACTGCAGGTTACATATTTGTAGGGCTGCAAGGAAGAGGTATTGGTGAATTTTCCACTGGCAAGTTTCTGCAGGATTTTGAAATCTCTTACCAGGGTCTTCAGATAGTAGACCTTGGTTCTGACAGTAGAGGACAGATAAATTAGGGGGTGGATTTTACCTAATATCTGTAATTTTAACATCTGCACCCCTGTTCTAGGATCCCTGAATGTAGTTTAAGACCTCCAAATGTTTGTGCAGAGCAAAACAATGTATGGTTAAGAACTGGTACTGTGAAGTAAAGTTTTTCTAAAGATTAGGCTGACTTTTCAAGTGCAGAAGGTTTTTAAGTTTCCCTTGGAGCTGCAGCAAAGTGATCTGAAGCTGTCCTAACAACACTGAGCTCCAGAGCAGTAGAATTTCTGTTTTCCATTTTGAAGGTTATCTTAACTGGATACCACCATACTGTGAATTTGTATGATCAGGAGTAGCACAGCTTGAACATTCTGCACAAGTAAAGGTAATGGAATACTTTAACACTCAAGGAAAGGTTAATGAACAAGGTAATAAAGAATTCTACAACAAATATATGGAAACTGTTGCCTGAGTTACTAGCTGAGTTCATGAAAAATCTGCCTTCATCTCTCCTCCAGTTTGCAAAACCACTTAGGAATCGTAGTTTTTTGTTTTTGAAATGCATGTAAAACCGATATCCAGAGTCTTTTATATGCAAGCAAAGCAGCTGAGCATAACAGGCCCATTGTCTGAGCATCTGAACAAGACCCATAAAGTAGCTTATGAATATGAAGCTAACTCTATTCTACCTCTCAATTGGATCTGAGAGGAAATTGTCTGAAACTGGGCCTTCTGCCATCAGTGCTCATGTCTGAAAAATGTTAACAGACATTCTGGTTATCGTTTGTAATACTTGCCCTTATGCCACGTGTTTGGTGTCATGTGGAAACTTCCTTGCTTATGGTGGAAACCAGATCTTTCCTGGCTTTGCCATGAATTCTATGACATATGAATTCTATGACAATGCCCCCAGAGCTGATAATGTATTAGGGATAAATTTTGTTAACTTCTTCCCAAACTTTCATTTTCTTTCTTAAATATAATGGATGGATTTAATTGCAATAATGAAATACCGTTGCTGGAAGTTACAGTGGAAGTATCATGCATTTTTTCATGTGGCTCCTGAATATGTTTAATTCTACATGCATGGAGAAGGAACTAGGAACACTAGAGAGAAGCCAGAAAAACTTGAAAAGAGCCAGATTTTTTTGTGGGTAAATAAAGCACCTTTCTTTCCACTTCTTCTACATCCCTAATGATCCGATATCTGCTGTACCAAGCAGATAGTCTGCGTGAGCTGATGAGTGCATTATTTATCTACATGTCCGTTCACAGTTCCGCACCTGTGTCAGTTTTGGTATGTACCTAGTTTTGACAGTGCCAGGTCACATGCTCTGCTCTTTTGGGATTTTTTATTCCGTATCTGTCTGGTATTTCAGCAGTTGTCAAGAGTATCAGTAACACTGGTGAGAGGCCATTTGATTGTTCCTTGATAAATAATTAATGAAGAATACATAACGTACTGGTATCCTGCTTTTGCTCCATTGAATGATATGGAGAGGACTTAAACGTAACAAGCATTAATTCATGGATGACTCAGCTGGATTTATTATTCATTTGAATTTTCAGAATTGTCCAGCATGCAAATGAATATTTCCATTCTGAAAATGTCTAGTGCCATTCATCTGTTTGTTTTAATTTCTTCTTTTTCTGGTACTGCTCAACATTCTTTTATAACAAAGCTATCCCACAGCTTACTTTTTCATGTCTAAGATCAGGGAAAGGTGAGCCATTCAACAGAGATATAATATATTTGTTTATTTTTCAGTTTACTGAGTTCATCTACCGTCATCTCCATGAGCATTAAATTTCAGTAAGTGAAAAAGATTGCAAAAAATATTGAGTTTAGTAGGGAAAATGTTAGAGCAAAGCAGTCGTAAAATCACTTGCACCATAGCTAATAAGGATGCCCTTGGAAGTGTTCTACAAAAGGGCTGTTTTAAGTTCAGCACCAGGTGTGCTATCACAAGTCATGCTGACTGCAGAGTGCTGGCCTATGTAAACTCTGCAGGCAAATGCTCAAAGTGCAAGGTCAAGCTATAGTTACCCGCTGCAGTGATTTGCAGCTACATCCATTGATTTCCTGGTGCACAAATGAGAGATGACA